CAAGTATATATACAGGATGGCTGAGATGATGGTACTCATAATTTCCATCAGTTTTTTTGAAAATAACATTTAATGTTTAGAATTTTCATCTTGACTAACTCTGAATGCTGATATCTATGATCAGAGCAACTACATCAAGGAAAGCAATGTGTAATACAAAACCCATGGTTGAATACCTATCAACTTGGTCTTCAAAATGTGTACTGTTTCTAACATCTTATCTATTATTATACTACTTTTAAAATAAATTAAAACAAAACAAAAAACAGGAAAAACATTAAGATTCCTTGGGCCAGCCTGATAGCTCAGTGCTAAAGCACCTACTTAGGCAGAGTGCAGCATCTGGGGTTCGATCTCCAGCCTGCCATGCTGGCTCTGCCTGCGGGGTGTGCTGAGATGGCAATGAAGATGTGTGGTGGTGCACGCCTGTAAACCCAGCACTTGGGAGGCTGAAAACAGGAGAATCACTGTAAGTCTGACCTATGTAGTGAGACCCTGTAGACCCTGTACACCCTGTACAAAACACAGAAAAAAATTTAAGCTTTCTTGAAAGCAAACACCAATATTCAATTATTTCCCCAATCTTGCATAACTATATCTGTTAATCTGAGCAAAGTTTGATGATAGAATTAGACAATGTAACAAGCATTGCTCATTAGCTATTCCTGTTTTGAAAGTTTATAACATATGTATCGTATGTTACCCTATCTTTTTTCTATTTGTTTTTACTCTTTAAAATTAAATTAAATTAAATTTAAAAAATTGAAGGATAATAAATAAACAAAAAAAGAATATCTTACTTGGAGCATAAGCAAACTCTTAAGCAAAGCCCGAATGACCATGGGGTATGGAGAAGGGGGTGAAATGGTGTTATCAATGAATGAGGGTAAGGCAGAGTTGGGTGGTGCATTTCTCCAGATATGCAACTACCACAAAAGATGAGATGGAAACTGGCCAAAATCTTAATTTATAAACATTCGTGTATATTAAAGTTTCAGAATTATGCATAGTCTTGCAAATTGAGTAATATTTTTTCTCCATTTAGGGACATCTTAGATCCAGGTACTGCTAATGCAGAGGAGTTCCCCAAAAGTTCCAGGGTATATTTTCTATTTAAACCATTTTAATTTCAATTTCTAAGTTCACCCCATAGTTGATGCTTGTGATAAATTTCCAGTAGAAAATTAAAAATAATATAGAATAATGTTGCTGCTTCTTATTCCATGTATATATTGCTATTTAAATCAGGGATGGTATTGAATTTGGTCTACCTTCTAGAATTTATTGAAATTAAACGGATTAATACATTCAGGCTTTTAAAAATTAATTAATTAATTAATTAATTTTGTGGGGAAACCAGGGACTGAACTAAGGCTCTTGCACTTGCCCGGCAAGCGGTTATTCTCCTGAACTATCTCCCTGGCCCCCATTTAAGCTTTAAAACAATGTTTGATACATAACTATGCCATGTCTGAGTTAGCCATTGCTATTTTCACAACATCTTCCACTTTGAGTCTGCTAATGTGATGAATTACATGCATTAATAGATTAATTTTGTTTGTTTATACCACTTGAATGGATTAATTTCTCATATTAACAAACTTGAGTTCTAAAATTTCTTTTGGAACCAATGTAAACATTTATATTTTCTTAGAATTGCTCTCAAATGTTCTAGAAAAATCTCATAAATTTTCACATACCCTCTGTTATTTTATCTCCCTCTCAGTCTGACTTATCAAATATTTGTCTATCTTATTTATCTTTTCAGAGGGTAAGGGTCAGCTTTTGGTTCATTTGCTGGTCAAGTCTATTTTGTATTTATTCATTGATATCTTGTTTTCTAAATTATCTACTATCATTGGAGGTTTATTTTTTATTTCATGATAAACAATGTTCTCCTTTTTTTAATATCTAAGTAGTTTGTGAATAATTTTGTTTCTCTTTGCATAGAGTGATTTCACCAATGTGTAATATATCCCATTGATAGGATATCTTAGTTAATTTTTTGTTGAGACAAAATACCTGACATTCAAAGTTACAGAGGTAAAGATTTATTTATCTCACAGTTTGAAGAAGTTTCAGTCCATAATCAGCTGGCTCCAAGCCAAGGTGGCACCTGGCAGAGAGGTGACAACTCATGGCAGCAGAAGACAGCAAAAGCAACAAAGGAAGAGAATTTAAGAGCATTTTTCTGCCTCTTTTGTAATGTATCCAGCTTACTGGGACTAGAGTGGTGTGAATCCAATCAATATACCTACTCTCAATCCCAGCAGCTATAGCACCAGCATTGCACTGCAAATCCATCCCATACTTTGGATTCAACCCCCTCCCCAGAAAAATACTAGATGACCACATAAACCTCTGGGGGCATATCTAGACATACAGCATAACATAGATATAGGAGGAAAACAATGTTATTTTGCATAGAGGGATCAAATTATCAGTGCCTGAATTCAGTGCTCAATCTTAGTACTTGTAAAAAGGGTCTATTTGATATGATGGGCTTCCTGTTAGTACGTGATGTATATAGTACTGCTATTTAGAACTGCTCTAACAATACTCTAGTGCTTGAACCTAGTGAAATCTTCAGTGATTTATAAATATTGTGACAGGAGAACAAGTTAAAGGGCACAAATAGATAAATCCACTTCATGGAGCAACTGACTTAAGGGTCACTTCATGGAACAACTGACCTATGACAAGATAATTGTGTGGAAAAAGATTCTAGGTTAGGATGAGAAAATTAAGTGTAGAATTGTAAAAGCTTAAATAACAGACCAGTCAATTGCTAAACATGGTACTTTTATCTATTGCAGCCTAATAGGGAGATCTTCAGAAGTTACCAAAAGAGCAACCCACATGCTCATAACTACTGTGCACTCTTTTCTTGTTATTACTATACCTATTTTGAAATGTATTCACCTTTAAGCTATCTTTAGGCACTATTAAAATCTCCTTATTTCCATGTAAGTCATATTCCCTGTTTAGCATATTTAAGAGGAAGTGTGGCATTTATTGGACAAATTTAAACAAAGCACTTGTTTAAAGTACTCCATGTCAGGCCTTGTTCTGGGCATATACATCCAAGAAATGGAAATCATGGATCTCCATCTACAAGGTTAAGATTGTTGAGGGTACTTTCCTTTGTTTCTTTCCAATTCCCTCTCATAGGAGTTAGACTTTCTCGAGCTCTTGTGGACTTTCCTTGGAAAGAGGAAGAAAGTTCATTACAGAATTACCTTTGTCTTAGGCTATAGTGACTTTTCTATTTTGACATAGAGCTTTTCTTTTGCAGAAAACCCAAGTGAGGATTTTTCAGTCTGAAGAAATGAGTCTCATAAGATAAACTTGAAAGACAGAGATCAGTGTGAGACTCATGAAGTCTTATGTTCAGGCTAAACAGAAGAAGCATCAAGGTAACCATGGCATAATGGGCAGTAGCACAAGCCCAGAGATGCCCCTTCACCCCAAGTGACTCATGTTGGTGCTCCATAGGGCACGGCTCCATATGCAAGGCTAGAAAAACAAGAGTCTGAAGCCAGAACTTTTCATAATCAGATCAGGCTTCTCAGAGTCAGAATTGGAAAGAACAGTAGAATGACCACATGACTTGCTCTGATAGCTTGATTTTTGTTCTTGGAAAAAAAAAAAGTGGTGGCCAAACACTAAGTAACCCCTCACTCTGCTAAGAAAAGGGCAGTATAATGACTTGGCCTGCTGTGATTTTTCAGAATATTTATGAAGAAAACAAAGTAAAATTGAACCTTCATTGCTTTGAGAGAAGATCCTAAAACATATTTTTAATAAGTTAAAAGTTAATAAATTATTCTGAAATTGGATGAAATTGTATTTAGGTAGTTAATACAAGATTGGAGAGCTAACACTTACAAACCCTTCCTTCTCATGATTTGTTTTTCTCTTCAGCACTATCCTTTGAGTGATCTAAACAGGACAATGTCAAGCCATACAGTTATATGTAGAAGATGGGCAAGGCAATGATCCTGAGAATCTCCAGAAGATTTTTGAATCTAGCAGTTAATTGGAAAGATTCTCACCCTGACTAAATAGGTATATCATGCTAAAAACAACCTGAGAACAAGGACGTGGCTCAAAGTCATTTAATGTAGTGGTCAGACAAATGTGGACTATGACATTTATGTGGATGAATGCTACTTTTGAGGTTGTCACAACTTTCCTGAGCTCCTTTTTTGGAAAAAAACCAGGTTGTGTATATGATAGCATGTGGTATAGTATCTAGGATAGAAAGAGCCTGAAATACACCCTGTGTTCTTCCTCAGCTTTTGTAGAGTCTCACTCAGAAGATATGTGCAATAGTGTGTGGATGTGTGTCTAAGTTTAGGTCAGAATAAAATGGAAAACTTGTACCAGAGGTGACATTTGTTCCTAAAAATGGCTGACTTTTTATTGGCAAATCAGGAGTACCCATGGGTGGGTTGTAGGCTGAGATACCATGCTGCCTATTAAAATGTACATCTCAGTATTTTAATAACTTAAATAATTTTTTATCTGGCCAAACACATACATACATGCACACCCACACACTTAAAATCATCTCTCAGGCATGCCTGTATTTATGATATCTCATCACATGGAACTAAAAAGAAAAACACTGAGTCATATATATCACGGTGACTTTTCAAATATTTTTGTCCAGGAGACAGAGTGTAAAACAAAGGACATGAGCCAGAATACATTTTGTGATAACTTTTTATCTTCTCTTTAGAAAAAAAATATGTACAAAAAAAGCTGAGAAGAGCCAACATGGAAATGTCAAGAAAAATATGCTGATAGCCAAGGATCTCCTTCTCTCAAAGGAGGTACACATTAGTTATCACCATGCTAGAAAAATGGGATGCAGTTAAAAGTCACAAAGTGAAGCTGTTGTTCTGGGGGCTCTATGTTATAGATATGTTGATACTTTTTCTGTAAATAATACTGTGCAAACTGTAAAATATTCATTCTCATATAAAGACCATACAATATGATATACAAAACTGTTGAGTTGACAAGGAAGGCTGGTGCTGACTTCTTGTTAAAAAAAAATAAAACAAAAACAAACAGTTGCAGTCATATACCTGACCAGGCCAAGAGTCCAGAGAGATCTTGAGTTTATTCGGTGGGCAAGGCCATTATTGAGCAAGAATCTAACAATCCAAACACTCCCAAATCTAGAATTCTCTGCTAATTTTCAATGTGGAATAGATGACTTCGCTATAATTTTTTATGCAATAATCTGAAAACAGATCAGAGCACAAAGTCCCCTCCACATTTCTTTCCAGAGTTGATTTTGTGTTTTAATATTAACCAATATCATCCTTCCTGAAACTCAAAAGTTTAACTCTTATTGAAATTCAAAAAACACCCGGAGGAGGCAGAAACTGTGGTAATAAAAGTTTAAAGTGAATTGTTATATTATTTTTGTTTGTGTTTATAAAACTGAGAAAAGAAGGATTGTGTACAAATATCACAAAACAACATCAACCATTGAATTAATGTGATTCGTCAATGCACACTTGAACAGAAGAAAATTCTGTTGGTTTTAAAATTCTGGCATAAATATGTTAAAGCCAACAAAAAAATCAGGGCAAGCTACATCACTTTGTCATACAAAAAATGTACAAAACATTAGCCTCTAACTAGATAAACATAATACTTGTCTTCACAGTTTGACATTGAGTAACTGTGTGTTCTGAAGTATTGAATTGAAAAGTGATAAAAAAACAGCTCATGTACCATCCATCATCTCAGGTGACTTCAGTCATGGAGGCCGAGTGATTCTGAAAAGTAAACAAAAGCAGATGTAGTTTAAATTGAGTTTACAGACTCCAGGGCACATTTACTCAATGCTGAATAATTTCTTTCTGTTTTGTCTCCTGGAGTTGGATATTCCCTTGTCCCTTTTATACTCTTCCAAAGTTTGTCAAGTGCCATCACTTGCTCATTTAAGCTGCCCTTACTTTTGCCATAGTAGGATCATTTCTTTTTAATCCAAACCTGTCTTTATATCATTCTGTCTTATTCTTAACTATTTTCTAGTATAAGCATTTAAGGATCCCAGAATATGATTCCATTTAAGAATAAGTGAAAAAGACACAGAAATTCAATATCTTAAGGTAAATAAACTAAGTCTACAGTATCACCAACTTTGAATCAAGAATTCTTCAGAATCACCTGCAAATATTAATTCTTTTCTCACCCCATATTTGCTGAACCAAAATTTTTCAGGTAAGATTCCAGACATCTGTCATCTCAACAGTGTTTGCATTTTCTTTTGTGTAATTAAAGAAAAAGTAATATTCCAAGTGGAAAACACAGGAGACTGTACAATACCCAGCATGAGTTAACTCAAGTTCTTTAGTTCTGGTGCAATTTCTTTTTTTCAGGTGAATGTATGCACGGGAGGTTAGACTGTGGATAGCTAAAAGCTGGTCTCTTTTGGATCACAGTAACCCTTTATAATCATGAAATAATATTTTATTTTATTTTTTGCCATAGTTTTATTGATAAACAAATAGCAATGAGACAGTTTCAAATCAAATCGCTAGGACAGTTTCAATAATTAACACACTGCATACATTCTTCTTAGTGGTTAATTGCTGTACAAGATGCGGACTTGATATCCTATTTACAAACACCATTAGAACAAGTCATTCTATTCATTAAGAGAATGTAACTATATATCTATCCCAACCACTTTGCATACACAGATACAAAATGGACATTCATCTGTATATCCTTTTTTTTTTGTTAAGTTCCGTTATTTGAATATTATAAGTGTGTAAACTCAGCAAAATATTCTAAGAGTCCAGTATCCCATAATAGTATTGGGTCTTCTGCTTGACAGGCAATGTCAGAAATTGTTGACCTGAGTCCCCTATGGCTCAACATAACAGCATGGCTTTATTTCTTGTATTTCGTTTTTATACTTTTCTACTGGATGGTTAAGACTAAGGTAAAGCAGGACCTATGTAACAAGTGTTGTAGCTTTTGGGCCTGAGAAGGTCAGTGAAATCCCCTCAGGATTTATCCTGTGCTCCTGTACCTCAGATTGTAGAACCTTTGTCAGTGTCAGCCATGTGGATGAGTCACAGCCAATGCTTGGCCAATGTGCTTTCTGTGAAAGCCTGAGAGAATGTTTTCTCCCCATGTGACTCTCCTTAGGCACACGCTACATCATCGATCACTTTCCTCTTTGGCCCCATAATCTCCTTGATCAGAAAATTTGGGACGCTACCGAGTTACATGACGTTACAGTACAGGTTCTCAATATGTCCTGAGTCTTAATTGACCTTAGAAGGTTAGGGCCAAAATGTTGGCTTTCCTTGCAGCCCTCCTTTTTCTCTAATTTTGGTCTGTAAACTTAGGTTGTTAACCATACAGAAGACAAGCTTGTTGTTGACAGGCACTCCACGCATGGAACTACTATTACAAATTACCATCTGGAGTGCAGTAGCTCAGTTCACAGGTATCAGTATACATAGTTAGTCAGGGTGAGAATCTTTCCCAATAACTGCTAGATTAAAAAATCTTCTGAAGATTCTCAGGATCATTGCCTTGCTCATCTTCTACATATAACTGTATGGCTTGACGTTGTCATGTTTCCTAGCTCTTCTCCTTTCCCTCTCTTGATTAGTTAAGTACTTGAGATCCTGCTTTCCTTTTACTTGTATTATAACTTTCTATTTGTATTTCTTCTTTTGAGTTCTTATACTACGGAGACTATACGATATTTACACATGTGTGTCTGTTTTATTTCACTTATGAGTATATGTTCAAGTGGCATCCGCTTCAATATAAAGGCGTGCAGTTTATCATTCTTAATAGCTGAATAATACTCCATTGTGTAAAAATACCACATCTTTTTCAGCCATTCCTCAGGTGATGGGCATCTTGGTTGTTTCCAAGATTTGGCTATCACAAATTGTGCTGCTATAAACATAGGCACACATATATCACTATGATATGATGTTTTCAGATCCTCTGGGAAAATTCCCAGTAGAGGAATAGCTGGTTTAAAGGGGATTTCCAGACCAACTTTTCTAAGGAGTCTCCATACTGATTTCCATAACGGTTGCACCAGTCTACATTCCCACCAGCAGTGGAGAAGGGTTCCTTTTTCCCCACAGCCTCTCCAACATTTGTTGTTGGTTGATTTCTTTATGATAGCCATTCTTTCTGCGGTGAGATGATACCTCAATGTGGTTTTAATTTGCATTTCACGAATGGCGAGTGATGTGGAGCATTTATGAAATAATATTTTAGAAGTTAGCCTTATTTATTTATTTTTTTCTGTATTTAGGACAGGGTTTACAGGGTCTCACTGCATAGATCAGACTCATAGTGATTCTCCTGTTTTCAACCTCCCAAGTGCTGGGACTATAGACACATGCTACCATGCCCAGTCTCAATCACCTTCTCACTGCATGCCATGGGTGTGGCTGGCATGGCACAGGCATGCCAGGGATTGAACCTTGGCTGTTGCACTCTGCCTAAGCAGGGGCTTTAGTCTGTTGAGCTATCAAACTGGCCCTGGTAGCCTTTTTTTTTTTTTTTTTGCTTGAATTTTGTATAATTCTTCATTTTCTTGATTCTTAGTATTTTGGAAAATTTTAGAAAATGTTTCCTTCTCAACCAAGTATACTGAGGAGAATGACAGAAAGCAAATACTAAAGTGTTAGTTCATTTGTTTTGTTTTGTTTTTTGAGACTAGGTCTCACTATATAGTTCAGGCTGGCCCTGAACTCACTATGTATCCTGAGTTGGCTTCGAACTCATGGCAATCCTGCCTTAGCCTCCCAAGTTCTGGGATTGCAGGTGTGCACCACTACACTTGACTCATCAATTTCTTTCTTAAAGGGAAAAAAGCACTGTAGCTTGAGGACTCTGTGTAGCAAAGAAGAAAGATTATCTCATGAAGAATAAAAGGTGCGTATTTGGCTTCCTCCCTATTCAGGAGCTTCTCTATGTCATATTTTGGGTCATGGGATGGATTTTATTAGTGTGTGCTCTAAAGAGAAGTTCTAGCCTTCACTCTAATACCCCAAGATCCTTTTCTGGGAAGATGATTCTATTAAAATGATTGCAAAAAGTACTTTTTAATGGAAACTATAGCTATCAGAAGTTTACTTGACAGTCTCACCTAGAGGCAAAATAAAGAGGATACCGATCTTGGAGGGCCTATAGCCCAGGTCAGCTTTTGTGGCATGATTCCATATTCATGGTGAGAGCTACAGATTTCATAAAGGAATTTTACTTAAATGAAATCTCAAGCTGTGCAGTATAGTAGAATAAGCATACCCTTTAGACCTTGGGCATGTTACTTAAATTATGAATCTTAATTTCTTCATCTATAATATAGGTTAGTAGAGCAGGTGAGATAGCCCAGCAGCATAAGTGCCTGCCTGGCAAACACAAGGTCCTGAGTTTGATCCCTGGTACCACCAAATAAATAAATAAATAAATAAATAAATAAATAAAATAAAATAAAATAAAATAGGATAATAATGAAAACAAGACTATAGTAAGGATTATGTGATATGGTTCTTAAACTGCTAGTTCTCTTTTCTTCTCTTTTTCTTGATCAACAAGTAAAGGTTATAACTCCTTCACTATCCATATGGAAGTATTTGATACTATAAGCAGGTGCTTGTTTACTTGACTTCTTCCACCCAAAGTGAGAGCCTTTTATCCATCTTGAGAAGAGCAGTCTTTGCAAACACTTTGGTACTTCACTGTTTAATATAAGCAGGCCTCTTTCCCCCATAATAGTATGTATTATGGGTATTTCTTAGCCTGATTAACTATTAACAGTGCTGAAGAAGACAGAAATCTTGAAAGGGCCTCAGACATAGGGGCAATATCTGAGTAGGGCTGGAAAGAATGATTAAGGGCAAAGTATTCAGGGAACAACATTTTCAAGCGCACATGACTAATACGTTTGTGGAAATGAGCAAGTGTCTTTGGTCCCTTTTAAAATTCAGCTTCATCTTCATTCAGTTCATCTCAAAAATAGTGGATATTTTGATTTCTGGACCCAGGAAACTTATGTTAAATAGTACAGAAAAGCTAGAAAGGTCATATTCTACCATTAAATTAAATTTATTTATTTATTTATTTGCTCTGAATTCCTTCAGGGCAGGTTTGGCTGGCTTGAGTTGTGGGGATCGAACCACAGCAACCTGAGCCTGACTGCTTTGTTGAAGCAGCCACTTAAAGAACTGAGCTAAGGGGCAGGCCCCCTCACCATTTTATTGCAAAGTAATATTATTTATTAAATTGTCATTGACCTCTACTAACAAAGTGTAAAAAAGTAAATCAGAAAAAAGTTTTTCAATATGCTATTTCCAATCATACCTTGCAAATGGTTAATTCAGGACAAGGGAAAACAAGTAAAAGCAATAATTGGCATTATGTTTAGTAGAAAATAATATTGTTTTTACATGTGGCTTATTAATAAAATTGTTAGGGTAGCTTATATCAGAGAAATGTCTAGTGGTAAACTTTTAATAATGTAAATATTTAATACTGCAATAAAATATAATTATAAGGGGAAATGATTTACTTTTCTGCACCATCTATAAAAACCGTTTAGTGATAAAACACTAATAAAAACAAGGTTTCAAGATAACCAGACTATCACAGAAAACATTTTAGTAGAATCTCACATACCAAAAAAAGTAGCATTCTAACTAAAAATACTGTTTTATTATCAGCTGTTTCCTAGTCACTTAAAAGAATTCACTCACCCCAGCTTTTCTGCTTCTTAGCTATGTGGCTTGGGGCAGGTAATTTAATGATGCTGACTTTATTTTGTTTTTATTTTTAATCTATGTAATGGGAGTTATCCAGTAAATATGGTGGTTGTTTAAGTATCTATTTGTAAAGTGCTTAGCAACTGTCTATAAGTAAAAGTAAGTGTTTTATTTTTTTTTTCTAGGCCTTCAACTAGCAGGTCTTCTCCAGGAATTTCCTCCTTAGATTTTTTCCCCCTTAAATTTAGACTCACACAACTTATGGCATTAGTGAAAAAATATTTGAAAAAAATTCTGTGTGTATTGAACAAGTAGATAACTTCTTTCTTGGATAGTGTTCCCTAAATACTATAACAATGACGGACATTTACCTTTCCCTAAGTATTCTAAGTACTCTAGATATGATGTAAAGTAATGCATGGGAGTTTTGCAGAGGTTATTCACAAATATTATGCCTTTGTATATATCTCAAGAAAACTTGAATCTTGGTGTCTGCTGGAGTTTTTGTAACCCATCTCCTGTGGCTCTGCAGGAATAACTGTTCTGTGTAAGGAATAATTGGTCACTGAGCCACACTGGCCTTCCATGTAAATATCCAAATCTCATGAATGCAATAGTACACTGGAGTTCAATGTACTCTAAAGCTTCTTGGGTTTAAGTTAAACTTTACTAAGAAATTCTTGAGGATTTATGACTGCCAACTCCTGGTTAAATTCAGGAGTTCTTGAGGGAGGGGATAAAGATTTTTTTTGAAATCACTTATAATGCATTAATCAAGTTCTTATTGATGCTGGTGGATTCAGTGGTGTCCTGCCTCTAGTATGGAAAAGGACTGGTTGACTAACAAAGGTCATAGCCTGTGGAGTTAGTTTGTTAAACCCACTTTACATACCTGTGCACTTAAGGTTTCCAGAGGGCTTTCTATCCTTGGGAAAGCCATTAGGGGTACTCCACGGGAATCTTCAGCTTTGGGTTTGGAAGGAGATCCTTGTGTTCCTTTAAAGTTATGAACCACACACATTCCCTGAAGGATAAAGGGAAAAAAGACTGGGGTCAGACTACAGCCATTGATGCCTGACTCTCTCCGATGGTGGCTTGGCCTTTCCCCTGACTCTCATCACCATGGGGAATTTTTCTTTGAATGGGTGGGTGGGTAGGAACCAGGGCAACACTTGAGGTGTCTGCGGAGCACATTTTTAATGCTGAAGAAGCATCTCTTTTCACCCCAGATAGCCACAGGCAATCATTCTGCCCCATTAAGCCTGTTTCCTCAGCTGTAAAATGGGGATAGGAATATCTACCTAGTAGATTTGTAACAAAGAAAGATGATGAATATAAATCACCTTTTAAGAGCACTGAATATTTTTTGAGGACCACTCTGGATCTGGCACTGTCCTGAGGGTTTTACTTATCTTACTTAAGCCACTCAACATTTTTTACAGAAAATACTCTTATCATATCCAGCATACATAAATGAATTTCGATAACGTCCAAGGTCACACAAAGATTTAAGCCCCAAGCTGCTCAGTCACATCATCATGCTGTTTTGTTACTGAGTAAGTGACACATATACAGCTAATACTCAGTAAGTGTTGGCTGGTCTTTAATGTCTACATGAGATGACTATCTTCAAATATGTGACTATTATTTACCTGGATTAAATAACTCACTCGTGGTAGTTTTCTTTTATTTCTACCATCAAAAACTCTCTCTATGAATTATTACCCACTTCTCATGATTTTCTGTCAGAGTCATAACCTACTTTAAAAATCATCTTCTCTGTTCTTTTTGCTCATGAGCTCTTTACCAGACTCTCTCTTTCATTATTGTGTATCTTTGTTTCTCCATCTAGGGTTTTGAATCTTTCTTGTCATTTGTCAAACCGGAAGGAACCTTTACATGAACGCTCTTTACCTGGATCACTTTGATCTTATTCAAAATAGGTTTAAACATTTTTTCATTTAGAAAATGGGTGAAAGGACAAATATAGGGGTCCTGGAGTTGAGATACTGCAGTATGATTCATGACTTACTGCTTAGGTATCTGCTGGGTGAGTTACTTATTTTGAGCTTCACTTTCTTTCTTTTTTCTTTTTCTTTTAGTACAGGTTCTACAGGGTCTCACTATACAGACCGGACTCAGGGATTCTCCTGTTTGCAGCTTCCCAAGCTCTGGAATTACAGGCGTGCACCACCATGCCCAGTCTCAATCAACATCTCAGCATGCCCCAGGGGTGGGGCTGTTGCAGCATGCTGAAGGACCAAACCCTCAGTAGCTGCACCTTACCTAAGCAGGCACTTTAGTCCACTGAGCTATCTGGCCAACCTGAGCTTCATTTTCTTTATCTCAAAAATGAGGATAAAATATTGCTAAGTTTGTCCTAGGAACACACATTTTGATGTGTATGAAATGTAAAGTAGGTAGTAATTACCCCAACAAATAATTTCTTTCCCTGTTCCTCCATTCTTTATGGGAAACACAAACAAGGAACCCAATATTGAACATATGCAGCCAAGATATACACTACTATTGTCAGTGTTTATTCTTTCCTTTCTCTTTGCTCTCCAAATTTCTGCTCTATTGTACCTCATCTCCTTCTAAACGTGCTTCATCTCTTTTTCCAGCTCAGGGTGTATGTCTCTGAGGTATGTACATATGCCTGCACACATACAGGCAGGTAAATCTTTATTGTGCCAAAGCAATTCAATAGTAGATACGGATCTTAGGCAAAAATCATTTGGTGCAAACAAATCTTGCATCAGTTGGGAAATCACATGAAGGCAATAACAGGCCAAATAATAACTGTGTGTTAAAAATCAGGGCTGAAATTCCTGATAAAAAGCAAGTCCAATGTTGCAACACAATTTGTGCGTGAGGCTCCAGCGAACACAAGGTTTCATACTTATCGTCTCATGGAGACGTCATAGAATTGCTTCAGGCTCTCAGAACTGTAACTGGAGATGGCTAGCTTTCATCTTCATTTATTTAACCACTTTCCTCCTTTTGAAGCATCTTTTAAAAAGTCATTTGTTTTTTTTTCCTCTTTTAACAAAGCTTTCCTAGAAAAATACCTTTTATAAAATACCAACCTTTTAGCATCAGGTCAGCACCACTTTGTCCTGTAACTTCACCCAGAGAATTTTAATTTCAGTGTCTCATCTTTCACTCTAGAAAAAGACTGGATCTTTTCAAAGTAACATTAAATTATAATAGAGCTTCACATCAGTCTTCTGAATGTGTGTTTTCTGTGTGCATCTCAGTGGACAGAAAATTGGGAACCTGAGTCAGGGAAGGCGGTGGACATATGTGCATTATGTAAGGCTGGGATGGCACAGTGAAGGTAAAGAAATTAAGTCATGTGACTGTCAAACAGGATTAGGGCTACAAAAGGCAGAATAGAAGGACAAGTGTCTTTTGAGACCATGATGACTTTTGTTTTTCTCTTTGTAGAAGCTTTCTGTCTATCAGTATGGGTTTTATTTTATGCAGAACATTTGAGGTTTTAGAACCAGAGACTTACTGTAAATCCTTCAGGAGCTATTTTAAATTTTTGAAGGAAAATTTTTTAAAAAGTGAATTTCTGAGTTATCCCATGTAATGGAATACTGCACTGCAATAAGAGGAATAAGTTATTGATGCATTGTGCGACAGGAATGAGTGTCAAAATAATTGTGTTGCGTGAATGATACCAGAAGAATAATACATATTATGTGCTTTCATTGACATGAGACCCTAAAAAGGCAAACTAATATAGAATGATGGAAGCTCAGTGGCTCCCTAGGATGAAGGTAAAGAAAAGGGGAGAGATATTGCTGTATCTGTAGGTCCAGATATATCAAATTGGACACTTTATGTACCACAGGTATATGCCCATCATACTTCAATAAAACCATGTAAAAAGGAAAAACAAAAGCAATAAATACAAGTGATTTTTTTTTCAGTCCAACTCAGATGAAGGGATTTTGTGGGTGAATAGGTTTCCAGGCTAAACCCATCTGAAAAACTAAAACCTTGTCACAAATGGAGATCTATGGATAAAACTGAGTTAACCATAACTGTTTAAATTAATTTTTGTGGAAATAGGATGCCCAAGAAGTAAGTCTAGGTAACAAGAAGTCTAAAGAGAAGTGGCTTAACAGCAGTGTCTATATTTGTGAGTAGTGTGTGCAAACTGTGACGACTCGTGGGCTAGAACCGAGCTTCTCAGGATGCTGGGGAGAACGTGCCGGCTTCCACCTGTGCCCTTTCTTTCCCTACAAACACCTTGAATAAATATTGAAATAAGACTAGTTTGAAGGGATGTCACATTACCAGTCCCCACTGCTAATCCAGTATGGAAGGGAGTGGAGAAAACACCCTTTTTGAAGCAGTCTTGTCCCTCATTCTCAGAAAGAACATAGCCAGTTGTTTTTGTGAAAGAAAAGTGTTCTGAAATAACTCTTGCAGCAAAAAGATGCATGATATCTAGCAAATAATTGCAACTGAAAAGGTTGGGGAGTATCTCACCCTTACTTTAGGCATCCTTTCAGAGGACAGGAGAGGGACAGGGTGAAAGAAGCTGACCTACCAGAAACAACGCCACTGCAGTGCCCAGGAGGAAGCCTGCTATCACATCTGAACAGTGGTTCCGGTACTCAGAAACTCGGTTGAGGCCTGTCAGGAAGGCTGTGCAGAGGGTGCCCAGGCACAGCACCGGCTTGGCCAGTCGACTGCTCTTGGTCTTGATTGTGCTTGTGATGTACATCTGGAGGGAGAGAGAATCCGAGAGATGCCCACGGGCCCGCTCACACTCGGAGTGTGCATGCGTGTGCCGGGGCAGGGGCTACCCCAAAGCTCCCGCACCAGTTACTTTTCCCAAACAAGTCCACCAACCTCCCAGTTATGTTTAGACAGGACACTAGCGCAGCAATGGCAGTGAGCAGGCGTGCATTCCTCAATGTTCTCTATTCTAGTGGGCATGTGGACAGAAATCACAGGGATTAGCATAGGAATGACTGTACAATAATGAATGGATACAGGACATGCGGTTTTTATGCAAGAAATAAGAAAACTATTCAGTAAACCCAGATAAACTTTTATTTATCAAGTAACTGTGGGAATGAATTCTGGGGAAAAGAAGACTAGGAGGTAAGCAGTTGCACAATTTACCTTATTTGTCTCTCACAGTTCCTACCTGCTTCTCCACAGTTTCAGGCAATAACGTTAAAGTGCTAGTTGGTAAGCTGAATCAGAATTGCTGAACCACTTGCATGCAAACAGGTCTCCCTGTGCTAGGCAATGATTCTTGAATTGAGTGGATTAGTTATGATCAGTTCCATCTATTCAATTGCTCTAAAAGTGTTTTTGTACAGTGAACGTTTTCACGTGTGTCACCTCATACAGGCTAGTGGATGCCATTTCGTCATAGGAGCTGGTTAAGACTCTAAAGTTTGATAGGCTCAGGTAACAAATGTGTTCCTCCTGTCAGTTTAGTGTCTCTCAAATGAGACTGCCACCAACAGTGGGTACACTAGGGGGCACTATTAGCCCATTGTTTCTTAACTGCGATGCATTTAGTAACTGAAAATAGGCTGATACTTAGAGACATAAGGTGTAAGCCTCATTGTTCTATATAATGCATGCCTTATAAAATGGTTAGATCAAAATAATCTAAATTAAGTCAGGTATAGCAATACACACTTGAATCCTTGGGGCGCTCTCGGTGGCTAAGCAGAATTGAAAACTTAAACCCACCTCGGGAAACTTAACAGGCCCCTGTCTCAAAACTTTAAACAAATTTTAAAAAGCTGCAGATGTAGCTCATTGTGAGGGTCCCAGGTTCAGTCCTTACTACAAATGCACAAAAAGTTACATAAGTTACAGCATGCTATGACAGTGTTCTGGACTGTGTGGGAAATATTAATTGAAAATTTTACTATGTATAATTATTTTTTATATTCCTGTATATTTTCTAATTATATCTTTTATAAATCTTTCATATAATAAAGTGAACTATTAAGAACATGGACTTATGGTTAGTATTTTTTGTGGTATTACACAGTACTTAGGAAATATTGGTTGAATGCTTTTGTTAGTTTCTTTTTCAGCTGACAATAATTATACATATTTATCAGGTAAAATGTGATACTTTGATATATGTACACACTGTGTAATAATCAAATCAGGATAATTAGCATATACTTCAATCCTGAGTAATTTCTAAAACCACTTAACATGGAACAGAGACTCAGAAAATGTTTGTACAAAGGGAATCTTATATTAAGGCTTATCTGATTATAGTCTGTGAGGCATGATTTGAATTGGATTATATCGGAATCTTTGATAGCACATACTTTAGCAGTATCTCTTCTGTGTGTGCTGACTATATTTATATCCTTCTTCCCCACTGAAATTTATGTTTCACTGGACCATAAGGCAGTGATTTCAGTAACAGATTTATTTTTATAATGACATTATCAACATTAATTTCATACAGCAGTGACTTGAATCTGATCAAAATATAAAATAAAGCACAAAAGTAAATTGTTTTGTATATATTAGATTCTAGATAATTAGGACAAATTGATATTCTGAAAATTAGAAGATACACAGGGTGCCTCAGAGGGCTTTATTTGCTTCAAATGTACTTGGCATAGACTTTTCTTTTCTTGGTAAAAGGCAAAGAAGTCTAACGAAGAAAGAGTTCATCTATTTTGTAATCTGAGGCATTTGCATTATTTGTGTTCACATTTCTTTAGTGTGAGAGCAGTTGAAATCATTTTATCATGTATTCATTAAAGAGAAGAGCTAAAAGCAGTAAGTAGGAGACTCTCATGGACAGTTGGGGGTTACCAAAACGATCCCTCAATGAGATCCTGTAAATCATATAAAAAGGTGTCTGCTCCAGGTTTTGTTAAAGAGAATAGTCACCAAGTTATTTTAAACAGCTACCCAGATCAGACCTGTGGTCAGCCTCTCCTCTACAACATGCTGCAGGGGAAAGGTTGGGGCTGCCCCCTGGGAGGTGGCAAAGGCACATTTAGAATAGAGAATGGGAAGAATGGATAGTTTGACATTCTTTCCTTAGTTTCTTTTTCCATTATTGTTCACATGAGAATCACTACACTGGGCATGTCCTGAGTATGAGATAAATTGAAAGAAAGGGATCCTTCTGACTAATAGAGTTGTACCCCATCAATAAGTGTCTATGATGTCCATCTGTGAATTTATACATCAGTGTGTGTGTTTCTTTGAGGAGATCCCTGACCTCTACATTCTGGATTCAAAGGGAGCACAGGCCAGAGAAAAGTATTCTAGGAAGAATACAATTAAAAAGCATGAACGTAAGAAGGCACCATTGCTTTTTCTCTGATGTGATCAAAGTATTTGAAGATCACATAATACTCCAATGGGACAGTCAAAAGCAGGATGAGTAGTGAGATGTTATGTTGTGATGCTGGGGTTCTTCTAGGACCATTCATCTCTCCTAGATAAATGATAGGAAGAGTATCAAAAGAAGGGAAGGAAAGCTGTCATATTTATCCCGGGTCTACACTCCGCTAGGGCATTCATTTACGTGAGGCCACACCTAAACTTCAGAATGTGCTGTTCTGGAACCAACAGAAATGCTGGCAGGATGCTATTGTGGTTGACAAGAGAAGTGCAACCCCGGTTCCAGGCTCCTGAGACCCAACTCATTGTTCTTAGCTATTCTCTGAGTGCTACTTTCTGAAGCTGTAAGAGGGGATCATGTAACTAGGGGATTATCAAAATTTCTTTCCAGAATTACTATCTTTTGGCAGCTCAGGGTATTATATTGGGGTGCTGGCAGTGGGGTCAGGGTGGGGGCTACTGTATCAACAGAATGATCTGCCATAAGAGAAACATGTTCCACATGAGTAACAGCAATGGAAGAATGGAGGTGGGGGGAGGGAGGGAGGGAGGGAGAGAGAGAAAGAGAGAGAGAGAGAGAGAGATCTCAGCAGCAGACTCTCATCTTTGGGAAGACAATAAAACTTGCACACTCACCGTGGCATATAAGGCAGAGTAAATGCTCAGAGCAGCGTGTTTGGAGGGAAAGGATCTCCGAGCTTTTTCTATCACTTCCAGATCCCCAGTACAAATGTTCCCGTTGTTTACAAACTGTTGGTGTGCCCGGCAGTCTGCACTGGTGTAGTTCGGCTTGCACACTGTCAGGAAGTATGGCGTGAGGTGCCCAGTGACCACTTGTCCAGCATTTACAAAAATGTCAGTAGCAAAAAGTCCAAATGCAAACACTCCTAGAAGGGGATTTAAAAGAATTAAGAATATTGGCACACACTGTTGGTTGTTTTTGCGACTGAGAGCAAACAGAACAGCAAGGGTCCATGACAACTTACCAAAAGAATCATGGGGCTCTCCAGAGCAAATATTCCCCTCATCTTTATCTTTTCAGGTAATGGAGCCTGCTTCCCAGATCACTATTTCTTTCAAACTGAGGCAACAATCTACTGTTAGTATTTTATTGTTTCTGATAACTAATTTAGAAGCAGCATAGCCTAAAGGAAAGGGTTTGAAATTTGGAGTCTCAGAGAGCTGGGCTTCCGACCCATCTTGGGGGATTATGATGATTTAGGTTTAAATATCTTCCCAAAGCCTCATGTGTTTGGCAGCTGAATAGATCCTGAGCATGTTATGTTCATCAGTAGGTTGATGAGTTTAGCAGCTTAGTGTACTGTTAGTGATGCTAGGTCAGAAGACATGGGTCACTAGAGGCATGACCTGGAGGAGTGTGTTCTCATCTCTGGCTCCTCCCTTCACTTTCTATTTCCTGCCTGCTATGAATTGATCAGCTTTGTTCCGCTGTGCCCCTCTGCCATGCTATTTCTTCATGGAATCAACAAGCCATGGACAGAATTATCCTGCCTTCTTTTAAGAGGAGAGTGTTGGGTATTCTGTTCCAGTGACAGGAAAGCTGACCAATACAGCAAGTTGGTACCAGAAGTGGAATTGTTGCTGTGACTGTGTCTGAGTATGTGGTCAGCAAACCTCGGTTTGTAGGATGAAGTTGGCAAAGGTTGGGATATATTAGTTAGAGAAGCCTGAGAATGCTGTATGTAGCAGTTGCTGAGGGATTCTGCTCAGAGGTGTGAAGGTCAGACTGTTGATAAGAATAGAGATGGTAAGAATCAGGCTTGTGAGTGTTCAGCCGGGAATGAGGACTCTATTGGAAATTGGATTAGAGGCCATGTGTGCTACTTCCGGCAAGGAATTTGTCTACATTTTTTCCATATAATGACTTGCATGAGGCTAAATTTAAAGGTGTAGGACTAAATTGATGGAAGAAATTGAAAAGCAGCCAAATATTCAGGCTGTGGCCTGAGTATTGCTGGCTACTTTTAGCCTGATCTACAGGGAGAATCAGGATAAGAAAAGCAGAAGTGAATAAATTGAAAAATTTTCAGTCTGGCCAGAAAGGAAGCACATAGGAAGTTAGGGCCAAGCAGAATGAGGAGAGCTGCTTACTGGAAAGGTTAGCATTAAACAGAAGCCAGGTGAGGACAACAGGATGGTGGCTTGAAGGCACCTTAAGAGTTAGTCATACTCAACCATTCATAGGCTCAGGGGTGTAAAAAGGTAAATGTCTTAAAAAAAAAAACCCTTGCATTAAAAAGAGAGATCCACGATACCTAGCTCTTTAGCACCATCCAGGGAAATCATTCTCTGGGTTCAGCCATCCACTCAGATGCAGCCATGCTTCAAGGGCGCTTGGTTACTGCTTGAGTAAGCTCCGCAGATCTTAGCTTCACCCACATGATTTTAGGCACACAGAATGCAAGAGTAATAGAGTTGTGGAGGCTTTCACTCAGATTTCAAAAGGCCTGGGAGGCCAGGCAATGTGTACCTGAGAGGACAGCAGTGAAAGTGATGCCAAAGGTGCAGTGTAGACCTCAGCAAGTCGGAAGTGGCAGGAATGTGGATCCTTTTCTGTGGAAAGTGAGTGGAGCCAATCCAAGAGAGAGATCCTTTAGGCTGCCACCAGCGATGCTATAGGGGTGGGGTTGTGTAAGCCCTGTGGAGTTCACAACTTGGTATAACCTTTGTTGAGTGCTGGATGTGGAGATACAAGATTTAACACTTGTTTGCTAGGCTTTGTCTTGATTTAATGCCCTTCCTTTCTGTCTCCACATTGCTCTGGTTTGAGATGGGAATACTTATGCTTATTCTATGTCATTGTTTATTGGAAGTGTAGCTTTAAGTTTGACTTAATCTCAGAAAAGACTGTGGATTTAGAATTTTTGGCAATGCTAGGATTGTTAAGACTGGTGATCTTTCAAGGTGGACTAAATACATTTTGTACAAGAAATTAGGACCAGGCTGAAATTATATGATTTAGACATGAAGTGTCCTCTCAGAGTCTCATAAGTCTGGAAGATGATCAGATCATGGAGAAGTTGTACTCATTGTTGGATTTATCTTTCGCTGAGATCAGTAGTTTATGTGGCTTTAGGATGTAGAGCCTGTTTGGAGAAAGCAGTTCGGAAACAGGACTTGGAGCTGTGTGTTCTTGTCCCTGGCTCTTCTGTTCATGTCTCCTTCCTGGCTCCCACAGGTTCAGCACATTTCCTCTCCTATGCTCTTCTGCCGTGCTTTTTCTACCTTGAAGCCAACAAGCCATGCACGTAATCTTCTGAAAGCTGTGAGCCAAAATCTACCTGCTTGGGGCCAGGGAGATGGCTCAGTAGGATAAGCGCTTGACTGGCAAATGCAAGGATCTGAGTTCAATCCCTGCTTCCACCAAAAAAAAAAAAAAAAGGTGACAAAATCTACCTGCTTTTCCTTAAGACACAGATGTCATCTATTTTGTCCCAATAATGGGAAAGTGACTAACAGAGTGAGCCTTTCATAGTATAGGTTGTTTCTTTTCTAACTTGGCTTCAAAATTAAGGATGATAGTTTGGTGATATGTAATAAGACACTTGTAAAATATCACCTGGTGTCTGCTTTTAGGTAATTATCTAACAGTTCTTTTTTATGTATTTGATACAGAGTCTCACTGAGCAGCTGTACTTCTAGTGATCCCCCTATTTTTATCCTCCCCAGTGCTGGGATTACAGGCATGTGGCACCACGCTCAGTCTTGGTGAAAGGCTCAGTGTGTCAGGGGTGAGACCAGTGCAGCATATGGTGACCAGGATCAAACCCTGGTCCCTGAATTTGTCTAAGCAAGTACTCAGTACACTGAGCTATCTTGCTGGCCCTTAACAGTTCTTTTTCTATAGAAAATATATTCTTGGTCTTTGGAAATACAAATAATCCTAGGGGAAATAAGCTATAACATCATGAGCTGTGAGAAGAAATTAGTATTGTTGGGGTTGTCTCTAAAAAAGAGATTATTCTAAAGCCTTAATTGAATTAGACATTTTACACTATTTGATATTTGAAACAGAAAGTGTGAATATATGAAGGTGTTAAAGATAAATATTTTTCACTAGATAAATTTCTTGCTTCTGCTATAATAACTTCCAAATAAACTTAGTGGCTTAAAACAGCACAAACTTTCTCTTACATTGTGGAAGTGGGAAAACCATGGTAGATTTTCAGAAGGCTAACCTCAAGGTGCTCACAGGGCTGTGTCCCTTCTGAGGCCTGCTGACCAGAATTCCTTGCTCTTCCAGCTTTCAGGATTTGTCTCGTCCTCATTATGGCCCCTTTCCACATCATTTTGAATCCTGCTGTCATTGTCACCTCTCCTACCCTGACTCTGACCCTCTTGACCCTCGCTCCATTTCTTGTGGTACTGGGGACTAAACTCAGGGACTTCATGCTGACCTATGTCTCCAACCCTTTTCAAATTTTGAGACAAGTTCTCACTAAGTACACAGGCTGGCCTCAGCCTTGTGATTCTCCTGGCTCTTGCCTCCCAGAAGTTAAAGACATACGGGACAATGTCTGGTTTGGTTGTCTCTTTTAAGAACCCTTCTGGCTCTATTTGGTCCACATGGGTAATCAGGGTAATCTCTTCATCTCAAGAGTGTTAATTTCATCAGAACTGCAAGTTTTCTTTTTCCAAGCAAGCTAACATATTCAGAGGGGTATGGCCAAATTTTGGTGAATGTGTCTACTGTTTTTAATTGGCTATTTGACTGGAACCAGACTATACTTGCTAGACTTTTATCTGTTGTTTGGTAAATTCCACAAGGTTAGCCTCAACAAGTTGGAATATGGATAAACAGGACAGTTTTTAAATATAAATTTATTTATTTATTTATTTTTGTATTTTAGGGAAGGATCTACAGGGTGTTGAGGGTCTCACTAATAGATCGGACTCCTAGTGATCTGCCTGTTTACAGCCTCCCAAGAGCCAAGATTACAGGTGAGTGCCACCACACCCAGTCAGTGCGCCCCAGGGGCAGGGCCAGCACGGCAGGGCCCCGGGATGGAACTCTTGGCCCTTGGGCCTGCTTGCAGGTGTTTTAATCCACTGAGCTATTTGGCTGGCCCTTTACAAATTTATTTTTAATTAATATGTAAAAGCATAAAAATTATACATATGTGTGGGGTACCATGTGATGTTCTGATACAAGCACTGAAGAAGATATTGCATGGGTGGGAAGCAGCATTAACCTCAAGGGTCGGGCTATAGTTTCAGCTACAATATGGCTTAGTTTTGGCTCCTCTATTCAATCTCCCGCATCTGCAAATTGTGCTCATTTTAGCCTCCAAAGTTAGTCTATTATAGCAGAAGTGAAGACAGATTTGGCTGAAATCTTCATCTGGGTTTCATTTTGATCTGTATTGATTGCTATAATTTTCCTTCTGTGCCTTTGCCAGAACATGCTCTAACACAATAAGAAGGGACTCGTTTAATAGCTCCAGCCAGCTCAGCCCGCACCCATACAGGGTGACCTCTGAGAGCGGCCAATCACTGATCATTCATGGCGGTTTTCACCCCCAGGTTACAGAAGCCTGAAGGATTGGAAGTTTTTACATCTTCAAGCGAGATTCTCAAAGAGCAGGTCCCTGGCTTTTTCAAGGGGCAATAAATCTGTCTAGACATACTTTTCCAGGAAACTAGGGTAATTTATGCTTTGAAAAAGAGAATGTGACAGCATTTTCCTCTGGTATTTTATTTGTGCCTCCAATTAGGGCAGGTTTGTTCCTCCTCATATGGAGGCTTTCTAAGCTCCTGGGATCAGTGTTTGAAGTGCTAGTGTCTGAAGTGCTTGTGGTAACAGTCAGTCTGTGACTGTTGGCTCTGAGTTTAGCTGTCTAGGGTATAATTGCTAAAAGTTGCTTCC